AACAGTTCTACCAGGCAATGGCATTAAATAGGAAATTTATGTTATTCTTGCTTTTTGTTGGTTTGTCCTTTTTCTATTACACCTCCAGAGTGGTACTGAGTAGATATTCTAGGAAAGATGCTGAGTGAAACTACTTTTTCACTTGCATGTTGGTGTTGGTGATCTATTGAGTTTTCCAGCATATTCAGTAAGTGAAGATAAGAGGTTCTTTTAACAGTTCCTTTGAATCTGGATATCACTTTCCCTTAATTCTGGTTTTGGAAATTCAGTTTTTGCAAAGAAGGGGCTTTTGCCTGGAGGATAAAATCAAGACTTGCCTGTTTCTTTTTATTTATTCCTTATACTGTAGCAGTCAGTAACTAAACTTCAAAGCAGCTCCTGACTTGGGTTTTCAAAATCTAACACGTAGTTTCTGGCTTTTGTCAAAGCAAAATTTGTCATTTTTTTGTTTTACTGATGTTAAAATATAAGTGTTTTTTGGAAAAGAGATTGAAAGGAAGGTTCACTTTGGTACTTCCCAACTGTGTAGGCTTTTTAATTACAAAGGATGCAGTTCCTAAACTAGCCATTCCTGATTTTCCTGTTTTATGCTAGCCCAGTTATAGTACTAGATTAGGCTACAGAAGAGATCCTTAGCAAGGAGTTGATTAGATATATTTACTTGGAGTGTTTATTTTCCAGGATACAGGGGAACCTTCCAATTTTCTGAAATATCTGTTTTATTGTTAGACTTTTTTTTTTTCCTCAGATCCTTTCAGAGGAATAGCAAAAATTCCAGTTTTGTCAGTGAAAAATGACAAAATGAAGAGCTATGAGATATAGTTTAGTGGCTTATGGTAGCAAGGGTAATGGGAGGACAGCTGGACTAGATGGTCTTGTAGATCCTTTCCAACACTGTGATTCTATGATTCCTCACCTCTTTCTTTCTCTTCTATGAAAATAATAGTGGCAGCATTTATTTGGGAAGTAGTAGGTATTTTCACCCTAGGTTGAGCAGAGTATCTGTCACCGAGCTGTTGTTTTCACACGTGATGTATAGCTGTTTCCTTGGCACTGTTAGAAGCTGCAAGGAAGAAGTTCTGAGCTCAGCAATCCTAGAAAAAGGATGTTTGTGCTGGGCAAGGTTTCAGATTTCTTATTAGAGCCAATCCTGAGTCAGACTGGGCCTTTGCAGCTGCTGCTGATTCTTTGGAAGCAGAGTGTGTATGACAGCACACTCTGAGAGTAACAACTCATGGCAATTTATGCAAGCTACAATGACTGGCCTTCTTTGAAATCTAGTATCTACAGCCTGATTCCAGCACTGGATAGGGCTGCCGCCACTTGGGCTTATTCTCTGTGTCTTTGTGCTGTCACAGGCCCTTGACAAAAGTGAGCATCCTCTAGTTTTATGCTGATGTTGTGGGAAAGCAAGCCTGGATCCTGACAACTGCAGTTACAGCACTTCTCAGGGGTGAAGATTTCTTGGCAGTATAAAAAGAGCTTGTTGCACAACACTACACTTGCCCAAGTACTGAGAAACTGGTTCTCCCATGTTCCACCTAGATTTCATGCACTGTATGAGGTGATGCCTTTCTATGTGGCTACTGCTGTACATAGGCCCTGTTCCTGGGTGGCAGAAAAGACAGCTGAAACATCTCTACCTATTTATTTGTCTCTACCACAGGAGATACCAGTGGCGAATGCCTTTCACTTCACATGCATGCTGTGGGCACTTGAAGAGGTTACTGGTCTTCCTGACCTGTTAGATGTAATAAGCTGCCAAAAATAATTGGGTTTAAAACAAAACTAGACAGTATAGACAAAACAGTTAAAGTATGTGCAAGTGCCTGTGTCTGCTCTACTTGTAAGACACCACAACTATAGCCCATAGGGAAAACCACAGCAGGAAAAAATACACAACATGAAAATTTTTTCTCATGGCACTGGAAATGCTCTGAAAATGTCTTTCTCTCTGTCATTCAGTCTATTGCCTGGTGAACTGACATGGAGTAAGGGATTCTTCAGAGAGAAATGTTTCTCTGCCAGTTTTACCAGATGCCTGGTAATCAGGAGGGGGCATTAGCAAATGAAAATAGGTTTTTTGTAACAGATAGCTTGCTAGAAACAAATGAACTGTGTGCCTTCTTTATTACCTATTCCCCATCCTCTGGCCTCTCATTTTGCATGTCTCACAGCCATTGTTAAGGGTCAAATGATCAAAAAATTTACATGGAAGCTCTCATAAGGTAGAGAAAGCTGATAATGGGAGTTAGCATCTGGGACAGTGGTTGCTGTAGATGTGATGAGTAAGGCACAAAGCAGGATTATTGGTATTGGTCATGCTGTGGGGTTGCTAAAATAACCTTTAGGGTGGAGAGGTTAGGATGATGATTAGTTATTAAAAGTGTAATTGAAAATCGTGGGGGAATAGCCCCAGTACCTGAATAACCTCTGTTACAGAAATGGGAATCTCTAGAACTGTCCAGGGAATGACCTGACTTGCTGTAGTGAAAACAGTGTAGGGTGAAAGTCCAGTTCAAGAATAATGAAGCATGGAAGCTGTGCAAACAGGTGTAGAATCTCAATGTTTTCTAAGAATTTCTTGAACAGCCATCAATAGGGATGGTCTAATCTGCTGTGCACCAGGCAGAACCTGTTTGAAATACAGGGTTTTACACAAGAGAGAGTTTCAGAGAACCCACTTTTCTGTGACTCTAGTTGGAGTTTCTGAGCAAGGATTTCTATGGACATCTGTGGGCTCTGGGTCGGACCCCAAATTCCAGAATTTCCTTGGATATTAAAGTTAAGGACGTGCTTATGAGCTTTAAATGAAGTTGTATTAACTAATACATGACCTGTGAAGGTGGTTGCCTTACTATATGACTGTGTGTGAAAGGAAAGCATGAATTGCTTAGATACCAAGAATCCAGTTTTGAAATGCACATTTCTGGGTCCTTGTAGGGTTTGAGTGTTCTGGGTGCATATTTAGTCACAGCCCACCTTCTGTAGTCTAATTGTTAGTACTCTTTCCACTGTGTTTTAATAGCGGCCAATTTAACTTACAGTTTGTGATAACTTGCAATGAACTTGCAATGCACAGTCTAGTTTAAAAATACAGATACATAAAGGAGCACAGTGAAGTAATGAATGTCTCCCCTGGTCTTCTAGGGGAGCATGTCTGCAAGCTTTTCTGCCTGACATAAAATGTCATGTTTCAAAGCTCTGTTTCATTATCATGGCGCCTGCTAGCCGTAATTAAGGGTCTGTTAGCAGCCCCATTATAAATCCTGACTTCCAGGAGTTTATAATTCAGCAGTAAAGAATTGCTCTAGGCTGAAACTTGGCTTATAAAGTCTCAGGGAAGGAACGACTGTGATTTCTTCATCCTTTGTTTTTGCGTTTGCTCATACACACAGTCTATTCAGTAGATTTTACTGTCCCCTTTTGGCATTTAAAAAGACTAAATGGTTGAGTTATTAATATTTCAGTATTGACTACTGTTCATGGCCAGTAAGTTAATTCACTGTGCTTGTTAACCCAGCTCTGTTTGATGGGTACAAGTCACAGTTTCACAAACCTGCTGCAAGTCTTCTGATTAGTGGAAACAGCCCTCTGTGGATTGCAGCAATTACTCATTAGCTGTTGATTACAGTGGGTTTCAGGACTCTAAATCTGGGAAGCCTGTGCTGTGTGAATGCATGAAGCTGGGTGTCCTGATATTGCACAGGTGAAAGTTTACACGTGGCTGTAGGCAAACCTGGATTTGTGTTGTCCCTATTCAGTACTGGAGGCACATGAAAGGCCCTGAACCGCTATCTGTCCTCGGCCTGATTTATTTAGTCACTTGATCCTATGCAAATGGGTCACTGAAAGCTCTTCCGATGGGAAGTCTGACATGATGAAGAGGCTTGGCTGGATTTCCCAGCCTGACTGTTTCCTCATTCAAACTATGGTTTCATAAAATCAATTATTTCCCCTAAACAAAACAACAAAAAAAAAAAAAATTATGAGGGAATGTTATTATAGAAAATTTCATTTTATTTCTCATAGAAGTTATAGAAAGATTACTTCAGCCTTCTGTTTTTATTCTATTATAGAATATTTTCATAGGATATATGTAAAAAAAAAAAATTTGGACAAATTGTAATGATATTACAATTAAATGAGGGGAAACAAAAACATATCTACATTCATAATGTAGAATGGGAGGGTTGAAATTGAGGCTTTGAAAAGAGCAAAATTTTGGGGTTTAGTGAAACAATCTTTTCCTTCAAGAACAGATTTTTGACGTTTTGTTCTGATCCCTAGACATGCTTATTGCATTCTGTAACTGCTATACTTGGTCCTGTGCATAGTGCTGTTTATAAATTGGGATCAAAATGCATATTGCAAGTAGTACATCAAATAGCAGTAACTCAGCAGCAAAATGCCTTCACTAATGCAAGACTGAGTCACCCTCTGGACTTTCTCCTTTTCTTCCTCCCATCCTCCCAGTCCCTTATATTAAATTGAGAAGAGTGGCCTAGGGGACATCAGTTCTCATTTGTGTCACTTGTATCTTTGTGTGACAGATTAGAAGCAGTTATTGTAAAAGATTTGACCAGATATTAAATAACCTCATTTGAATGACAGAAGTGAGACTGCAGATTTAAAACAAACAACCAAGGAAACAACAGAAGTACTGATTTCAACGATTCTATGTTAATTTATACCAGCTAAAGATCTAAAGATCGAGGTCTGTTTTCTCTTCCATTAGCACATAATCCCCCTGCATGCCTGCAGTAGCACTATGGAGTGCCTCTGCCGGACCAGCAGTGTGAGCACAACCTGTGCTGGTCAGGGAGCGCGTTCGTATGGGACCCAAGTCTCCTGTTTTGTTTGCTTGTACCTTATCTGTAGGAAATGTCCTGCCAGCTGGGAGCCACTGCTTTTCACAAGGTTCAATATGTTTTGTTTCCTGCATTTTTTTTTTTTTAATACGAGGGGAATAATTTTTAACTATCTTTTCATTTGCTTAGCATGGCGCATATATTAAAGACGCTCAACAGCTGGTTCTGGTGGGAGAATATTTGGATGCCAATCAATTGCACATGGGCAGATTTTGTAGACCGTGATGGCCTCGTCTTTCCAAAGCCACAACAGTTGTATGCCACAATACCATATGCTTTTGTATTGCTGATTATCCGGTTCTTCACTGAAAGGTAAGAAGCATGAATTCAATTTTATGTTCCTGTTAGTTTTCAGTAATGCTAAAAAATAATTTGAGAACAAGATACCATTACATTCTTATGTATGAAGGTTAGTTGGTAGTCTGCTAAAAATACCTACTGTCAAAACAGTGGAAGATGAAAAACTTGGAGATAGTTTCACTGCTAGGAATGCGATTGCAGCCCAATCTAGAAAGGTGTTCCTATACAGCTTTTCTAGAACAGTACTTGGATAACTCTAGTTATGCCCTTTCAATAGAGTTGCAAACTCTCCAGAAACATTTTGATTTCTTTATTTTTCCTCCTTAGAAGCATAGTTACTGCTCCTTCAAACCAAACCTCTCCTTTTGGATCAGCACATGAGGCTGATCAATCCCAGGTGTCCAAATGGAGCAACCTGAGGCAAACTTGAGGAATGAGTTTCTTCTTTTTTTTTTCCCTAATAAGTTGTATTGCTTCTGCAACTGGAATTGTAATGGTACAAGCAGAAGTTGGTTCCATAGAAGAAAGCTACAAAAATGATAAATTTGTAGTGTTTTGACCTATTTGTGTAGCTTTTCTTTTCTCTATAAAGTGATTAGTAGGTTTTTAATTATTTCAGGATAGAATGAGGAAACTTGGAATGTCATAAGTTGGACAGACTTGACACAGAGCCAGATAAAATCATTCATATTTGAGATCAAAAGTAATTTGGATCACATGTTTATAACATTCATAGTGTCTCCTGTGTAAATGCTTGCCTGGCTGTCTCACTGGACTACTATTGAAAGTTGCTCATGTGAAAAATTAGCTCACACATCTGGCATGCAGTGAATCTGTTCATGAATGATGAGAACTGACCACTGCTGGAAGTAGCAGAGAATCAATTGCTGATATCAGTAGAGGCAAGGGGCTTTTCTCGGAAGAGCCTGCCCAAGCAGAAGGGCAAAGCAACTGGCATGCTCTGTAGCACCTTGAGGGCAAAGTGGAAGAGAAGGAGAAGCCCTCTGCTGTGTGCCACGTGCTAGAGGCTGTCGGGAGAATCGTTTCCTGGGCCATGGCAGCCCATCACAGTATGTCAGGTGGCTCTCTGCCTCTAAGAGAGCATCCCAGAAGCAGTCTTCCAGCACAGCTCATATAAAGAACCACTTGTTCTTGTTTTGTGCACCCTTAACTATTGCAGAACTCAAAAAATACAAGACAAAATTTAGAGTTTTTCCTTTAGCTTTATATCTTTTCAGGACCACGAGCTCGAGTAATTGGATCTGCATTTTCAAGTAGCTGCTTATGTGCTATTGTTCTCTCTTGGGATTAGTTAGTGATATCTTTTTTTTTTTTTCTTTCTCATGGTGCATGGTCATATCCTATGGACAATTGAAATGCTTCAGAATTACTTCATTCATATCCTGGCGTGAGAACAGCTGTCTTGTAACTGTGTTGCATTTTTTTTTTTTAAGCTTTTCATTGCATGTTTTTTCAGATACATTGCTATTCCTCTAGCAAAAGCCTTAGGTATAAAGAATGTGAGACGTGTGAAGCCGCAGCCTAATCCTGTTTTAGAGAGTTATTTCCGGGAGTGCTCAAGACATCCATCTCAAGTAAGAGATTCTTTTGTACTAGTTTTGGTTCTTGGAAAATCACAGGCTTTACTGTTTCAATAAACGGTCAACAATGACGACATGGGATGAGTTCCATCTGATTGACAGATGACTTAATTTATTTGGGTTTATGTTGCTGTTCTGCTGGCAAGGGTATATAGCATCCAAACTAGAAAATATGTTGAAGGTGTTTAATTTTCTGGTATGTTAGACTCTAGGAAGTATTTCCAATGAAGATCAGTGCTTCATCATCTTTAACTCTTTCTGCCTGGAGAAAACATCAGCTGATGTCCATTGTTGGGGAGTGGTATCATATTTATTGCATGTATTGACATTGGAACTCTGGGATGGAAGCCCTTTGATCTGTTACTGCATACTTTGATATACTGCTGCATACTTAATCCTGGTTTATGAAAAAGAAATATCTATGCATTACCTTGCTGTCTATTTTCAAATTTAAACAAGATAAAAGCCAACATTTACCATCCTGAAATATGAAGCAACCTGATTGTTGATGAGAAACGGGTACCTTGCTGTGATTGCAATCTCACAGCTCATTTAATTGACTACAGATACAATGGCAGCTTTCCTACACTGGTTTTGAAAATAATTATGTGCTCAGCTGATTGTTAATACCTTAAACTTTGTTCTAACCCTGACTTTGCCTCACTTTCTATTTTTTTTTTGGCCTCATATTGTGAGGAGTAGATGTATTCATGCTCACACGTGAGCTCTTCTCTATCTGGACAAGTGTCTTGATCTCTGCTTCATAACTTCCTTTTGCATGCGTGCAGTTTGCCAATTAATTTCTGAAGGGAAGCACAGCATTTGCATTTTTGTATTTCTCAATGTACATAGAATTCAGGCTGCATCCTTTAGGTGTCTGGCTTAGGGTCCAGTGTGTCTGAGAGTGCATGCAGGGGCCTGGCTGTCATCTGAGGACATCTAGGCTCCACTGTCTGTCAAAACAAAGTCAGTATTCCTGTGTGATGAGTGGAACACCCTTCTGAACAGAGAGCCTGTTTGCAGTGCTGCGCTCCCCAGCAGGCAAAGTGTCCTTTGCTTACATACCAGAGCTTTTTTCCAAGGGAAGGAGACCAAGTGAACTGGACTTGACTTGGCAGAAAGTGATGCTACCACCCAGTATTTGCATGCTAGCCTCAGGGTGAATTGCTTCCCTAGGGGGGGGTGAGTTGAATGCTGCCTCCATTTCTGCAGCAGCTTCAGGGCAGATCAGCCCACACCATTTTCATTTTAGGATGGAGGAGAAAGAGGGAGCCTACAAGCTGCACGTGGAGCTCTGGGCACCCAGAAGCACAGCAATCACATGGCCAACAGAATACAGCTCATTACCCCCAGCTCACTAGAGCAGGAGCTACAACCTTGTGCTTGGCACCTGACATGGCTGCACAGCGGAGCCACTTCAACCTTCAGAGTGCAGATAAAGCACAGACACTTGGAGGCCAACGAATTTTTAGGCAGTTGCTCAAGCATTAATTTATTTTTAGGCATTGAAAGAAAGCAGTCTGGATTTTGCTGGGTAAGATTAACTGACTTGCCCTGTTGCATAGCAGAACATCAGATTTGAGAACAGAGCCCAGATCGCTTTGATGCCATGTCTTACCTGAAGGACTCATTTAAATACAATCTGGCAATTATGTAATAAGGTTATGTATTGGATACACTGATAACGTGCAGTGATGCATGACACTTCAGAAAGTCATCCTCAGCAAAACCTCTTGCTTAGCAGTAAAAGTTCATAGAATCATAGAATTTCCCAAGCTTTTAAATTATCAGAAGCCACCAGAAAAACAATAGCATGGTTTGTAGGCCTGTGCATTTTGTACCCACTTCAGTAATATAAATTAGTGTCCTGAAAATACAGGATTTCTGTGAATGTCATTCAAAAGTTAAATTGGGAAACTTATAAGTTAAAATGGCATGGATAGTTAATATTAATAATATTTTTAAATGGAGATCTTACAGGGGCTGGGAAGCCAATCTGTGAAGTATAGAACCAGTGAAGATGACATCAGTGTAGGTTTTGTTGCTAACATTATTACATTTTTTTGCAGTCAGAGATTCAAGGCCTTGCCAAAAAGTGCAACTGCACAGTCCATCTGGTGGAAAAGTGGTTTAGGAGACGGCGAAACCTTGAGATCCCAACGGTGCTTCGGAAATTCCAGGAAGCTTTGTAAGAAGACACAACTCTCGTTGTTGTTATTGATTTGTGTTTTGGGGAAAAACAGTGATTGAGGTCCTCAGGTGCCTTCCTGGCAGGGGCTCGTTTCCAGGAAGCTGGGTCTGTCTGACGAGGGTTTTGGTTTGTGTTTGTGCATTTACAAAGAAATCTAAAGGAGTTAGTAAGGTTTCTCCAGATTTGTAGCTTAAAAATATTAGATCAAAGATTCTAAAATACTGTAATTTTCTTCACTGTTTAAAAAGGGACTTGTTTGTAGGTTACTGCTACATAATGCTTGATAAAAACATGTAGAGAGTAGGAAAGCATGTCTGTGTGTGCCCATAATCATAGGGGAACTTATTCGCTCTGCTTTAAATAAGCATCTGTGCTGTCATCTTGGAATAATAGTGTCCTGATGTTGGTTCAGGAGCAGGAATTGTGGCATCCTAATGAAGCAGTAGGTGTCACAACTTGAACACAAGGTACCATATGGAACATGAGCTCAAATATGCCAATGAAAGTGGGCTGTTGAGCAATTGAGTGGTAGTAATGAATATGGAAAAAGTTTCAAAACTTCCTTCTGCATCTAATTATAAACCAGCAGAGCATTGAGTCTGTTTTGTCACAAATCTGTGAGAAATTCCACATACGTAAACATTTTACTAATTATTCCAGTGTTATCCAAAATCTCATATGAATTGCAAGTCCCCAAGTGAGCAGCATGGCTTTGCTTACACAGCTCATTTTTCAGTAGTGAAATTTACTGTACTAGTGTAAAGTACTTTCCTAATGTCCTGTCTACTTGGATTTTTAGCTGGTATAACTACTTTGGTAACAATTCACGTGATCATAATATTTAACCTCTTTTAGTGTAAGTTAGCTTAAGGAATGAGGATTAAAAGCTCAGAGTTGAGTAGTTTATCAAGATTATTTTCAGCGTGAATCAATATGATAATATTTGATGATCTCCTCTGGGCATAAATCTAGTTGTTAGGCATTTAGGTGCATTGCTTTGAAACCTAACTGAGCAAACTGTTTTGGCAAATGATATCCATGTCTGCTGCTGTTGTTCTGTGGCTGAGTTAACTGTCAAGTGACAATAAGATTTCTTACTATCAGTATAAGAGCTGCCTGCTGTGGGTCCATTCTTCTAGTTACACACAGCCAAAGACAAAAATTGAAACTTGCTCAGCAGCTTAAGTTAGAATGAAGCAAACAGGTTTTTCTTGTGCAATTCTGGAGACTCTGCTCTTTGTGTCAGTGAATTTAACTGGATTTAATTTTCAAGGCAACAGAGAAGGAACAGAGCTATCCCATGTTGGTAGTCAGCATTATGGCACTTTTGAAAGCCTGCAATCTCCAGGATCATTCTGATGAATCACAAGATGTGATGAGCCAGATCTAAACTGTACTTAAGCTATTAGTGTTCCCAGTTAAGCAACACTGAGGTTTGGAAAGGTCTTTGTGTGAAACCTCCTTGCCTTAAAAGACTCAAGAGCCTTTAAATTCATCCACTACATTATTTTTTGTTAGACTTCATTCAAGAGGAAAAAAAAAAAATCAAGAGAAAAGATTCCTGAAGTTAAATCAGAAAGATCCTTTTACATCACTGTTGTGCAGTTCAGAGTTTATAAGGCACATGCTGCATAAAATTTTGTGAATTTGGATGAATTTTACTTGGGGCTTTGTTAACAAAATTCATAAAGAAGCTTGGCTGAATGCAAAACGAGGTAGTGCTCATCTGGCAGTTTTGTTCAGATGACGAGTTTAATCTGAAGCACTCTGAGTATTTACTGCCAAGTGCTTTGGATATACATACTTGTAGGGCTGGGGGCTAATGGTGCAGTCAGGAAGCTGCTGAAGCATGCGTACATATTACACTGAACACAGAATCTGTTCCATGTTCATTGAACTCCTCACACCTCTCTTGCTGGAAATATGAGGAGAAATAACAGCAGAATCAGCCCATGTGTAGTCAGTCATGTGCCACAGTGTTTTTCCCAGTATCTCTCCTTTAACTCTGAGTGAGGTATTACTTAGGAGTTCCACCTTCCCCTTCCATTTGCTTTCCTAATTTCTGCTGTGTTTTTTTTTTTTTTTTTTTTTTTTGTGCAGTGGGTGTTATAAAATGCTTTTTCCCTTCATATTAGGAAAGATGCTTTAAAGTAGAAATGTACAATGATCATTTATCACCAGCCTATCTTCTGGCACTTCTATAATTGCTTTTTGACTTCTGCAGGCACGATGCATATTGACTTAGCTGGCCTCTACTGTCCCATGTACTCATTTTCTTTATTTTTCTTCTGGAAACATTGGCTCAGTCTTTGAACGTGTTGTTCTTTCACCTAGGACAGCCTCCAGGTAATACAGGGCTCAGAAGAGAGGCTGCTTCTACCAGGCTCGTTGTTTCTCAAATGGTACTTTATTAGCATTTGCCAAAGACCCCAATCATCATTTTCATACATCTCTCAATTCATTAGTGCCAACAATGAAAGCAGAGTTCTTGTCAAGGCTCTTTCTCCTTTTTAGCATCTCACTATTCTGGGAGGCTGTCTGCTGTTCTCCTTTGTTCTCTTGTTCTAGACAGTATTCTCACCAAGTTTGGGGTCGTGTGCCTTTCTCTGTGACTGTGACCTCTCCCAGCATGTGAAGTCCTGCAGCATTTTCCTGCTGATCTTGAAGACTCGCTCAGGGAAAGGTCAGGCTTGTTCCTGCAGAGCAGAAGAGGGCAAAGGAAGAAGTTTTCCATCACCTGTAGAGGTGGGAGTGGGAACACTCCTGCTGAGTCTCTAGCCACACCCAGGGACAGTACCTCCCACACAGGTTCCAGATTGGTTACAACACTGACTGCTGGCTCCAAATCACAGCATCCTGTTCTGACACACATAACAACACAGTTTCAGTTCACTAGGATACACAGGAGCTTTTTACCCCTTTGCTGACTTACCAGATCAGTGATGAAAGTCTGAAAGTTTTATGTTCTTCGATGGATTTAAACCACAAAAACCTTACACCAAACTTAAATGCTAGTCAGGGGTTGAGGTTTATGGCTAATTCAGATCTGTGAGGTAAATATAAACTTACCTGGTAGCTGTTTTTTAAGTTCTATAGGGCTCCCCTGTTTTCAGCAACCAATGTTTTGTTGCTCTTTTAACAACAAAATATATCAGACAATCTACTCAGCAATTAAAGCAAGTCACTGTTGACTTTAACAGTGTTGACAACATTTGATCAGATTGGGAAGTATTGTTTCAGCTCTGTAGCTGAAACTTTTTCCAGTGGTAGGAAGCTATGAGATGTTCAGTCCAATGTGAATGTTCTAGAGCAGTGATAGAGTATGTTTGATTACAGTAGGGTAATCAAACCTACATTTTTAGGGAACTTATTGCATTTGCTATGACTGTTACCTTGATCATGTTGTGCCTGGAGAACTACTGCCATGATCTACAAGCGAGGGATCTGTGTTATATAATGTAAACTCACTTTTTAGCTATTAATCAAAATATTTGAATGTTAATACTTAGCAACCCTGAAGGTAAAGTGTGAGGGTGCATTCATGTGTAAATTATCTGTAATGTACAATGACTTTCTAAAATCTATGGAAAAAAAAATTGATACTGTCTGTGAAACAAAAATGTTCTTTTTTTCATTTCAATCTTGCAGCTGGAGATTTTCATTCTATTTTGCATCCTCCATTGCTGGATTTATATTTCTGTATGATGTAAGTATACTTTGTGAATAGTTGATATTATATTTTAAAACAAGGTCTGATCTCTAGATATTAATGGCACCCATTGAAGCTCATACACTGATTTTGGTGGTTGGTTGGGTTCAGAAGTTTAATGTGTATGATCTGTGCAATAGGCTGCACTGAAGTTTTAATTGGGACTTTAATTTCTACTCATGAACTTATATGATTAACAGTAAAATAAAATAATGAGTAAGCAGCATTGTTAAGGAAAGTTTACAACGTGCCTTCTTAACGCCTAAAAATACATCACGTGGCCATGTTTTCCTCAAAGGAAGCAGTACAACTTTTCTGGCAGCTTTTTTTGGGGTCGTAGTGCATTTTATGGCTGTTTATTGTTGTGTTACTCCCAACTTCTGACTCAGCAGCAACAGAGAGACTGCTCATAGCTGTGTGAGCACTGCCTGGGGTATAATTAATGTTTCTCCTGAGCAATTGAACAGTTCTCAGTGTGTCTATGTTCATCTGGCTCTCCTCCCTAAACAGTTTATCATCATGAACCAGTGTGTGTGGCTGGTAAATACATCAAAATGTAATAACTGTAGCAACACATCTTGAGTAATTGCAGAGATAAAACACACCCATTGCTTTGGATGATGAAATGATCAACTGGAATGTCTCAGGTGTCCTGAAAAGAAGCCAGAAAGCTGAAATTAATATGATAAACCTGAGATCTAAGCTCTCTTTAGAAATTGCTGGAGAAGAATTATCAAGAATATACTTTCTTAGCCTGCTCCAATTAGAAAATGCTTAAGTATTGAGGATTTTGAGTTAAGATGATGACTTATTGCTCAGCTGATCAGTCTGAATCATCTGTCTTCCCCAGAAGCCTTGGTTGTACGACATATGGCAGACGTGGGTTGGCTATCCATTTCAGGTGAGCTTTTTGGCATTGGTCCATTGGCCTCAGGGTGTTCCAGGTATTTCCCCATTGGAAGGGGTAATCTACAGAGGTGCTTCTCCCTCCCAGCAGGCATCACCTAGAGAGGTGTGGCACCAAACTCTTCTGCCACTTTTTTGGTACGTCCAGCTGACTCCTTCAGGACTTCACCATGATGTGCCTGTGCTGCACTGCAGCCCTCTGGCCCATTCCAGGCTACCAGTTGTCTACAGCAGTCCCTCAGTGTTTGAGGCTTCAGTGTGGAATCCTTTGGCTTGCACCAGTCCTGATGATGCTTTGAGTCTGAGGCACTGTGGAGTAGCAGTATGCAGAGGGCTGCACCAAGCCTCTACCAAGTGTCTGCTAGGCACTATTGCTTAGCAGCACAAGTGGAGGGGAGCCCTGCAGTGATGTGGTTTGGCAGAATGTGATGCCCTGCTCTGACAATCTCTGCTTGTTACTCTTTTTTTTTTTTTTTTTCCCCAAGTGTCACAAAGTTCTGATTTCTTCCAGAAGTATTTTAGTCATGGTCCCCTAACAGATGGCTTCAAGCAAACTGCTGCCTTGCCCACCTTTTAGAGGTTCTTGCATGCTGCTCCCTTCCTGTTTTGGTAAATCTGTGGCACATCACATTGCCACCTTCTTACTTGACTCCAAGCCAGGGGCCAAAAATAAAAAGAATCCTGCCTCCTAGCTGGGTTTTCCCAGCTCCTTTTACTTGTGGGACCTGATAAACCAGCTCACTCCCTGCCACCTGGGAAACACATTTAACCAAGTGAGGAGCCAAGCTCTTTCAGCATCCTAGCTCTCTTGTGCCCTATGTGGATAGCTAGGATTTTAGTGTAAATAGATGACTTTTTAGACCCAAAGATGTGTGAATATCTAAAATGTTTGTTTGCCAAAATGGAGAGCTTTGTTTATTTGCAGTTGTTTGTAATTAAATGCAGCAGCACTCTATATTGAGTTCTCTGACAAAAGCACAGAAAAAAGCATGCTAAAATTGGGGGTTGGGAAGGAACTACAGAATCTTGGAGTTTGGTCTGAGTAAAGGTTAAAATATTTGGCTCCCAGAACGTTCTTCGTAATGAAGCCCAGAACATGGATTTAGTTTAATTTCTTTTTTTTTTTTTTTAGACAAGACTCAGCAGAGGAGCACAAAAAAAAGTGAGGGGAAAAAAAAATTTGGCATTCACTTTTGCTCTTCTCCAAGTTAACTGGTTTTGTGTTTTTTTTTTTTTTTAATAAAATTACTCTTTTATTTACAGACTATGCTGCCATCTCAATACTGGTACTACATGGCTGAGATTAGTTTCTACTGGTCTCTCTTATTTACACTTGGGATTGATACCAAAAGGAAGGCAAGTGGTCGTGATAAACAAGAAGTTGATAAAAGCACCGTCCTGATACTGGATTTGGTGCAGCCACATGAGGGCAGCATCAGCCTATCCCTGGCACACCTGCACCCTTCCCTGTTCTCCTGGCTGTCAGGGTCCCTCTGTGTGCGTGATGTAGTATCCACATCCACAGGGAGACCCTCCGGAGCTGCACTTACGTGGCTCTACTTTTTGTTTTCACAGGATTTTTTGGCTCACGTCGTTCATCACTTTGCAGCCATTGGGTTGATGAGTTGCTCTTGGTGTGGCAATTACTTGCGTATTGGAACACTGGTGATGTTTGTGCATGATACTGCAGATTTCTGGCTTGAGGTAATGATGACCTTCTTTAATTATTTTTTTCTTTTTTTGTTGTTATCACCCAGGTTATGTTCAGTGGTGTTTCAATCTTTGCCATCAGTTTCATATGCTCCCTCCCTATCCCTACAGAGACGTGGTTCTACAGTCATAAATTGTAAGATTAAAAAAAAAAAAACTTCCTGATAATTTAAGCTGATATTCTGTTACAGAATCCATTATGAGAAAAAAGCATAAGAGAAGCTCTGCAAAACAGTACAAGGACTGGAAATGCCTCCCTGGCTTATTCTTGTTTCATTGTTAAAGTTAGACCAAGTTGGCTAGCCTGTGAACAGCTTGTCACGATAGCAGTTCTCAAGCAAATTTAGCAGCTAAAAGCTTGGCTACTTTTTCACGCTGTCTTAATTCTGTCAGCATTCACACCCCTGTGTTGACCCAAGGGCTATGTCTACCTCATTCAGTTCTGGCTGGAGATACTCAAGCTGACTCTGAATGAGATACCACAGGTACTGGCAGAAGTGAAGTTTTTCCTTCTCTTGACTAAATATCAATGTTCAGAAATGTTTTAGGACTTCTCTGCACACAGTTCTGCAATGATGGAGACCTGCTGCTGGGTTTCTCAAAAGACAAATTTACTCTGTGATTCCTTCAACAGCATTACTCTGGTTTTATAACACCAGGATTCAGAACATAGTTTCACAGCCTTTTTGGTGGTAGTGCCTGTGTACTCCTGCAGGCTGTTGTCTCTCACTACTCATTTCTGCTCCTAATATGCTTTTAGTTGTGTAGGAGCAACTAATTGTGGGGTCACACATTTGGGGCTGGTCCCAATTAAATGCAGGCTTTTGCTGGGTTACTTCTAATCCTTAACTGTTGTTCAGTTCACTGCAAGGCCCTTAGAATGTTGAACCAACAATTGGAATAACAGCACTCAGATGCAAACTGAAGTTGTCTGACTCTCAAGCAGTGTTTAAGACTGAGGCTTGGCATTTGGAGCTTGTGTTCACTCCTGAGATCAGCTGTTTTGCTTGACAGTGCCCAGGGTGATTCCTCAGTGAAACATGGGGAGTTGCACGTTTCAGCTAGGGGAGAAGCAGAAATTATGATCTTAACTAGTGAAATGGAAACTGAAGCTAGGACTTCCAGCCCTCAAAGAGGAGGGTAAGAGACAGAATGCATCCACCAGAATGCTGGTACAAAGGGTCACTGCTGCTCCTGAGTGTGTAGATAAGGCCAGCAGCTTTGCTTTGAAACTGGTACAGCAGTGAGGGATGAACTTCTATTTTCAAGAGCACTTCATGTTTTTGTGATGCATCTACTTTCATATCTCAGAACTGTTTCTTCAGCTTTTTATACCAAATCCTTTCTTTTAAGATTAAAGGAGAAATATAAACAAGAAATCTGTTTTGTTGCTGCTTTATTAGGTATTAGTAAACTGATTGCTCTGTATGTCAAACAGGGAGGAAACCTTCCTGCTTAGGGAAAGATAAGTTCTTGTTTATTAAATGCAGAAGTGGACTTATTTCAAGGAATATTTGTAATATGTTTGTTTTGTGTTCAATTCAGGCAGCCAAAATGTTTAATTATGCTCGCTGGGAGAAAACCTGCAATATGCTTTTTTTCATCTTTTCTATCGCATTCTTCATCACAAGAATCATCCTGTTCCCCTTCTGGTAAGCAATATTTAACATAGTCATGACCTTTTATTTCATCCCTGTTTCCATTGAGAGGTTAGTAGTGGTTGTGATGGGTAAAGAAGAGCAGTAGGTTGTACCTTGAAGAGAAGAAGCTGGGCTTCTTCATTATTGTTTACTTCAGTGCCCATAATTTTATTTAGCATTTTAGTAAAAATACATATAGTTTAGTGAAAAAAAAAATCAGGCACCTGAAAATATGCAACTCAAAGGGTTAAATCTATTATTTAACTTCATTTCATAGTTAGTAGTTAAATGCTATGAAGTCCTGTGTCTTTGAGGGGGTGAGCTACTTAACAAAGAGATGCTACAGTCTTTCATTCCTATCCTCCTGCTGGAGCTGCAAAGTCAGAGGACAGTCTGTCCCCTATAAGTACAGTTACTTTTTCTTCTAGTGCCTTCTTTTCAGTTCCTAGTTCCTGAGAGGTACGTTGCATCACTCCCCTACATTGGAAGCACTCAAAAGTTAAGGTGAACCCATGAATTTACAAAGTCAGTGCACGTGAATCATAACTTGCTGAATTCTCACATGAATTTGGAGTTCTATGATTTAATCTGCTTTGGAGTATCCACACATGTGCTTAGTGTGCTTAATGCTTAACATCTTTAGCTTTTAAAAAATGCTTAATGTGTTTCACATCCAGGGTTTCACTGATTCGCTCTGGATTACTTTCATACCCCTCCCTGCATGTGGACAAACCCTCAGAGACACAAGCTGGTTAAATTAGTAGTTCTGAACACTGATCAGCACAAGGTTTTAATTTCCTGTAGTATTCTTTTTTAAAAAGACATCAGCGTTTCTGCTTTCTTGTTATTTTTTGATTAACTGCACAAGTGATCTCCAATCACTTTGCTTCACTGAGCTTCTTGTTCTTGAGCTTGGAAGCAAAACGTGACGAGATTAGAAGGACTCAAAAAGCCCAACATAATATGGAAGAATTGAAACCTCAAGATGGACAAAACATGTGTTAATTAACAAAGAGCCCTGTTGCAAAACCTGCAGGATTTTCTCTGAATGTGGATTTCAGATTAGGGAGAATTTGAATGAAAAATGGCACAGTCTAACTCTGTGCTGCATGTTATCTAGACCACACAGAGCCCAAGATTAAAAAATATATTTCTATCTCTATTTAGAATACTTTCATGCAAGACTCAAGTTTCTTATCTTCTAAAAGTCTGCATTTAGGTAGAGATACGTAATATAGGTAAGCCACAGCTTGTTAATTCATCTGTCATCTTTGCAGAGCTTTTTAATGTTTTCATGGGAAGAGTTAATCAGTTTGGAATGTGAAAGTAGAAATTGCTTTAAATAGCATAGAAAAGGAGCCCTGCATCATAACAGTGACCTTTGTTTTTTCAGGATTCTGCGTGCCACGTTGTATCAACCTACATTCTACTCCACCACTCCAGTCATAGCATATTTCTTATTCAATGGGCTGCTATTGACCCTTCAAGGCTTACATTTATATTGGGGTTACTTGATCTTCAAGATTTTGAAAAGGTTCATTTTCTTAAAGGTAAGCAGTTTTGCCTCACAGAAAGATGTGTGAAATATCAAACTTATATTAACACCTTCAGTAGATTTACTTGGCATTTCTTACTGTCTTCCTGAATTTCCATGTCAGTGTTCTTGTTAGGGATCTACTAAGTATAGAGATGTTCAGATGTGCTTTCTGCCTTTCAAGTTCACATTTAAGGTCACAGATCAGAATATGAAAACTTCAGGTACAGTTTTTTTGGTGTTTTTTTTTTGGCCTGTGTCTGATGATTTGTTCTGATGGTAAATAAGTGAACTCTACCAAAATCTGGAGCCCAAAAATGGTGTAGAACTCTTTTAATTCCTGTTTTCAAGATGGAAGTAATTTTTTTTTTCTCCCTGGACTTTATAAGAACAATAAAAAAAATTAAAGGTGAGTGCTGAGATCTTTATATCCGACAGAAAACTCATGGTTAAAGTGCTTCAGGCTTCTCTAAATCTGAGCTTGGTGATACTTGAACACTGTTTTTGGGCTTAAAAATCCATACAAAACTGATCCAATGTTATATTATGACATAATGAACCACAGTCCTATTCAGCCATGGCATACAAATAGATCAAGCTCAAAGGTTTTTTATTTTCAAAATGGCTTTTCAAAGAGACTTAATTTTGCTGAGGAAGCCTCAGCATATTCACCAGAGTAATCTTGTGATTATCACGACTAAAAACATTACTGAGCTAAGTCTACTTTTATCTGAATCAGCTAATGTTGTGAAGCATCTTAAACAAATAGGGATATTCCTTTCTACCCATATTATTCATCATTTCACTAGTAACTGAAACTATCCCGTATTTTACTTTCTGGAAACAACTAGTGGTGAACTCTGCACAAATGCAATTATACACAGTTTTGCTGCCCGGGCACGGACCCTATCATTTCAATAACATCCTAACCCAAGCCTCTTTGAAGTTGATGGAAAGACTGCTGCTGATTTTAATAGTACTGGATGAAATTCTAAAATAACAGCCAATTACTCTGGCTATCACCAGAAACGAGAAAGAGCTGAATATCTTCATTCTCAGTCCAAGCTTATTCTGTTGCCTGAGTACTTCCATACCCTTAATTTGTTTATTAATTTCAACCAAATTGATAAGATACCCCTTAGAAAAAAACTAGTTGTTTTAAACAGCCTTTTTGAAAGGGGAAGTCCTTTGAGTTTTTTCTTTAGCTTTTCTGCTGATCTATTTATAAGACACAACTGTGAAGTGCAAATTGTAGATCATGGTATTTTAGGTTTGGTCTTGCTTTGAAGAGGCCTGACTAAGTGATGAAATGCAGTGACCAATTCAGTGCAGGTAGGCCTGGTAATCCATTATGATTGTTCCCAGTGGTTGAGCTTTGCAGTATGCCAGATGGTGTTCTTTATTCCTCAATTGGTGGTAGCTGGGACTGCTTTTTGTTTTGCCTCCCACTGAATTTTGATGATTTTGACAAGAGTCTGGATGAGAAGTTTCTTGACTAGATACTTTGAAGGATGATTTTGTTGTTTTTTATTTGTACTTTATTTAAAATTGACTTCTCAAGAAAGCTCAGGCAATCAAGTCAGATTTCTGCTTGATCCCACTGGCCAATCTCAGCCTCATCTGAGGGCATTCCTAGATTCATACAAGTCTTATGCAAATAATTGGATATTAAGGAGACTCACTGTCTTTCCTAGAAGAACATGGCACTTACAAGCTCTACCCTTGTTAGAGAGCAAACCAGTGAACATCAAGGAAAAATCTGTACGAGGAACATCTTGCTTTGTTCTGCTTTTAAAACATATTTTGTTTCCGTAGTTATTTATGGTCAGGCTCATGGAGTGTTAGTGTTTTACTTGTCATTTCTTTTTTGACTGTGACCTTGTCTCTGCACTGAGCTGCAGTTTGTCCTTCATATTTCACTGTAGTTTGGCAGAATTTTGACGTCATTCTGACTTTTGTCCAAATACCTGTTAGGATTTGACAAAACTAGCCACATTGACCAACACATCCTGTCTGCCTCTAATACTGTCTTCAATCTCATAATCTCTAAGAACACAGTTTTGTTGAGAAATAAACATCTGTAGAAGGAAGGTAGAGAGGAAAGAGGATAAGAAATGTTTAGCCATTAGAACTGAGGAAGTTTGACTGCAGAATAGAGAAGTTTGTACTGGTTGTGAAAAGTAACTTGGTATGGTAGTCCCACAAGAAGTGCACATGAGGCTACTGGAGAATTTGCTAATGAAAGCAGTGTGGCTGAAACAGTACAGAAAGAAACAGAAAACAAATTCCATGTGAATCCTTAAATTGTAGATGTTTGGTAACATTTTCAAAGCATTTCTGAGAAGTCAGACTTAGGGGTAAGTGGATTGATAACCTGAAATAACATGAAATTAGAAGTGGTTTGTGTTCCATATACAGCGTTCTTTGTATGCTGAGCCTGAAATAAGGGTGAGCCTTCTCACACAGCTCTTGTAATAAAAACAGGAGAGCTTACTCTGCTTTGCAGCTGAGGAAGAGAAGGGCTTTGGCATAGTATTTCATCCATGCTGATTGAGGTTTTGTGAGTGCACTGCAAAAAGTGTTTGGATACCATGGTTAAGAAGACATTACTAGAGCAGCCTATATAAGGCCATCCTGCCCTGCGTGCTTATATGCCTTTGTAAGGGGCAGAAATGCTTTATTTTGAGAGAAGACAGTTTTTGTATTAGTCATTGCAAAAAAATGGAAAAGCACCAAGCCAGCATTTCTACCATGGATTTTTCATTCCTTATACAGCTCTCTGAGAAGATGGTTTCCAAATAACATTTTTACAGTGGCAGCAGCAGCAGGCCTAGCCCTTTTCAGTCTGCATGACTTCAGCTGGCTTGCATGTGCAGCCTGTTTTCCATAGCGGTGGCAAACTTGGCTGTGAAAGCAGGCAGTGCCTCCAAAACTGTAAAGACAACTTGGAAAAGAATGGTGTTTGTAAGGCTGCATTTTTATACCAACGCATTTGTCACAGACATACTCCACGCAAATAGCTGTTGCTATTTTAGTGAAATAGCAGCAAACCATTATACTTGTGTTAGGAGGGTTTTGTTTCTCTGCCCAAGACTTCTGAGCCCATTCAGAAGATAGGCAATTCTTAATGTTTTTCACGAAGCAAGTTAGCTACTTTAGGTGGAAAAATGAAGTCATGTTGTAAGTGGGGATAGGGACTGATGTATAGCTGTGGGAGCCTCAAAGAAGCTCAGAGCACACCAAGGGAGTCAGGATTTTATCAGTGTCCTCCATGCTTTGAGCCGTCCCTCGTTCACACGCTCAGCAGTGACCAGCACTGCAGTGCAGCATTTACATGGCCTGGCATCCTTCCAAGGGGCAGGTGTCTCCTGGTGGCATCCTGGCCCACATCAGCAGCCTGTCTGAAAGTCAGCAGGCTGCAATGCATTTGCTTTGAATGGACGGTGCTGTTGTCTGCTGTCAAAGCACAGGTTAGAGGACCTGCCTGGGTCAGATTTGAATCTGGATTGACAGAAGCTCTTAATCTCAGCTGCCACCTCCTCTGCCCTAGTAAAGGGGACAATCTCCCTCTCTCTGGGATAACTACTCAGCTGACTTGCTTCACACAGAAGAACTTGGCTAGAAGTCCTGCGATGTTCCTCCTTGTAAACACCGCAGCCAGAGATGAATGAACGTGAGAAAAAGGGAAAGATGGGTGCAGGGTTCTGCCCCTGTGTGTCCTGCTGACTCAGGCACGGCAGTCAGCAGCAGCTGAGCTGGTGGTGCGGAGCAGCACTGCTCTGAACCTCATTGCCCAGGAATGCCCTAGCAAATGGGAAATCCATGGTGGCAAACTAAGCTGTGCTCAGCGACTTTGTGTTAGGAAGCTCTTTGTTTCTATGGAGTTAAACCTGAGGGAACATGAGTATTGAATTTTTCAAATCAAAGGTTGTTCTTACACTGGAAAACAACAAAAAAAGTAACAATAATACGTTTAAGGACGTTTGGGTTCATGTTATGGTAGAACATTTTATGAGCCCATTTATAAGTGAGACATAGGCACGAAAGCCCTTCGAGGTAAGACCTGCAGCCATTTATCTTAGATCAGTTCTGCAGTGGGAGAAAGAAGGCCGTTTTTCAGTGTGGCTTCATTTCAAGTTAGGTCAGGCAATCGCAATGCTGGCTGCCATCTTGGTGTCCAAGGCCTTTTGTTGCTAGGAAACTCTGTGTGTTTCTGTAATATTGTTCAATTACATGGTTAAATTACCCACTTGTATCAGGTTTCAAGAACCACTGAAACATGTCTAGTCATCATGTCTGCACATATGAGAATATTTTAGGAAAATTGAAAAAACATATAGAGAAGTATGTACATGTGCACTGATTTAAAATATCTCGCCAGGAAAATCCCATGGAGATTAAACGTTTTATTTCCAAGGTCAGAAAAAGGGAGCGAGTGACAGCAGCTTATAGCCACATTATTATGGCAAATTAAGACGTAAAATATATGTTAAAACCATTACAAATTGAGTTTAAGGTTTTGAGACTACGGTGTTTTAAATCTTGAAAATATGTGTAAGTTGTAGGAAGTGGGCATGATGTCTGCATGACTCAGATGCTTCGGGGCTGATGCAAAGTCCATCAATGGCAAAAGGTAACAGTAGGCTTTTTACAGACTGCAGTGTTACCAGCAAGGTATTTTCTTACTCTTTCGTTGTTGTTAGACTGTCCTAAATAAAGGCAAAGAGCTTCTTAATAATTCAGCTTTGGTTTGTTCTTCTTTCTAAAGAAGAAAAGACCCATGAGATCCTGCACTGCTGTAGACCAGGTTTTTATGGACTTGTTGCTTGCTCAAAGAAAAACTTCGGTATTCCTTTGTTTTGCAATCATTAAAAAGGGTTTTTAAGGCTTTTTGGTTGGACATATTCTTGTCCATGGTGTATTCATTTCTTACTCAGTCCAACTTCCCAAGGGAACGGTGAGTGTTAATGTTTGAAGAATGGTGCATGGCAGTCTAAGATAGCTGAAAATGATAAG